AAGGGAGCAAGGTTCTCTTGCCTTTCTTTTAAATCCTTTTGTCCAGGACAGCAGGTATGGATGGTGATAGGTCTGCTGTTGTTACCTGCACGGCATGTGCCATGTTTGTCTTCCTCCCGGAAGGAAGAACGGATTTCATCTGCACTAAGTGCAAGCTGGTCGCCATTTTGGAGGAAAAAACTAGAGGACTGGAGGCCCAAGTGTCGACCCTACGCTCGATCAGAGAGGATGAAGACTTCCTCGATAGAAGGCAGTGTTTAATCCTGCAAGCACGGCAGGCAGAAGAGCCAGAGAGGGCAGTACGGACCAGGAAGAGAACTGGCAGCATGTAACTTCTAAAAGGGGAAAAAGGCCAGCACAGGAATCCCCCAATGCTATAGAGGTAAGTAATCGCTTTCAGGCTCTCTCCACAGGCTCTGCGGTGGTGAATGCTTTGGAAGGGACCTCACAAGGAAGAAACCGCAAGGGAACACCATCTACCAGAAGGCATGGGATGCGTAGTCCTAGGGATGGGGGTTCCACGACCACCACCCCCAAAAGAAGACAACGGGCGGTCATGGTCGGGGACTCCCTCCTAAAAGGGACTGAGCCATCCATCTGCCGTCCGGACCTGGAATCTCCAGAGGTGTGCTGCTTACCGGGAGCTTGAATTCAGGATACGACTGAGAGGCTTACAAAATTGATCGAACCATCGGATCGCTTCCCCTTCCTGCTTCTCCACGTGGGAACGAACGATACGGCCAAGAATGACCTTGAGCGGGTTACTGTGGATTATGTAGCACTGGGAAAAAAGGATCAAAGAATTCGGAGCACAAGCGGTGTTCTCGTCCACCATCCCTGTTGAAGGGAAAGGACTGGTCAGGGATCGTCTAATTGAGGAAGTAAATGCATGGTTGCACAGGTGGTGTCGCAGAGAGGGCTTTGGTTTCTTCGATCATAGGACTCTGTTCCGGGCACAAGGATTGTTAGGAAGAGAGATTGGATCCACCTAACCAAGAGAGGGAGGAGCATCTTCGCGGGCAGGCTTGCAAACCTAGTGAGGAGGGCTTTAAACTAGGTTCGTCGGGGGACGGTGACCAAAACCCGATGGGAGTGGGAAAGTCGGATACCAGGAAGAAATGCAAAGGGGAACGAGCAAGAAAGGAGGACCCCTGATTCGAATGGAGAAGATATGGCGATCAACTGGTTCTCTCAGGTGTTTGTACACTAATGCGAGAAGCCTGGGCAACAAACAGGGAGAATTAGAAGCCCTGGCTCAGTCCAAGAAATATGATTTAATTGGGATAACAGAGGCTTGGTGGGATGACTCGCATGACTGGAGCGCTGTCATGGAAGGGTATAGACTGTTCAGGAAGAACAGGCAGGGGAGAAAAGGAGGAGGAGTTGCACTATATGTAAGAGAGCACTATGATTGCTCAGAACTCCAGTATATATAGAGGGAAAAACTTGTTGAAAGTCTATGGGTCAGGTTTAAAGGAGCAAACAGCAGTGATGTTGTGGTTGGTGTCTGCTACAGGCCACCGAACCAGGTGGATGAGGTAGATGAGGCTTTCTT